TATGGTCTCCAACTTCACGTGCACTAGTGTATAGAACAATTTATTTCTTCTTCATGGAGCAGTTAAATGAAAGTAGGTCCTCTAAGATATGCACACATGCGAACACATAAGTAAATATATAAACATATTGTATATACATATATATGTGCATATAAACAATGCAAATAAGTGACGCACGGCGTGGTGGTTCTCACACTGACAAGACTGGGATGCCATATGGTCTCTAGCATCCACCACAAACAATTTTCATTGCTCGCCTTTCAAGAAATTGTAGTCTTGACAAAATGGGATGTAACGCCTTCAAGAATACTCAATAACTCAAAAGATCGACTTTCTATGAACCTCGGCATAAATAGTTGGTATATATATTTTCCCACTCATAACAGCACGGTTTTGAGGAAGGCGAAATCGCCGAAACGTCAGCTGTCGACCAACAGCACCAACAACAACGACAATGAAGACCTATACCAGCTTCGTATCGGCTCAGAAAGATCAGTTTATAAGATCGTATAAATAAATATATCAACTCTTAACGAAGACCTGCAACAAAGGTAAAAAGGCCTACAGCGAATCTCACCAACAACCAAGGCCATTGAATGGTCCACTCCGTTGCAGTCCTTACGATGAATTACAGTTATCGCACGGAATTAAAGGACATATAGCAACACATATACTCATAGAATGATAATACAAAGTTCCGTCGCTAATGTAAGTTCTACCTTTGCTCCTTTATAGCGCATTCTTAATGCCACCGATTCCTTGCATGCCACGAGTTCTTAATGGCTTCTCTTTAGAAGTGAGTTATCTAAAATCATGTGAATTTTGTTACATCGGCATGTGTGAGAATTCTCACTTTGGCTGGTGAACATTTTCCCGCGGAAGAAAAGCTCGAGGTTATTGAATAATGCGAGAGACAGACAGGTATCCTGAACACAGCCAATGTGGCAAACTTCAACACCTCAACTCAGTTTCTTCACGACAATTCTTGAAGCACAGAGTTTGGCGTGATCTCGTGAATATTTTCCAGTTTTGATAATAGAGAACTAATAACAATAAGAAAATCATAAAAAGAAGCAAATATACCTCTTTCAGACAATATATAACGACACAATAAAATATGTGAGCCACATATGGCTCGTTGGTGTGACAGCGTAATACGAAGCGCTAGAGGACTTTCTCACCACGGTAAGGTGACAACCTATGGGCAGCATGGACTATAATATATCACTAAACTCGTTTTCCAACACAAAAATCCAAGAATTAAGTGAGTTTCCCAAAAAAATAGTAAACAAATTTCTTAAATAGTAACCCATGTTGGTCTATTTTAGCAAGGTTTCAGTGCAATTTCCGCTCTTTTCTTTCTACCATTCTCTTAAATGTCCCCGCAATACATCATTTGCTCCGATAAATGTAAATGACCTTCCATTGTAATTCTTCGTATTTTTGTTGAGCAAACGCGAGGTGTTATTATTCCTTATTCACGAATAAGCTGACGTTTCGGCGGATTTCGCCTTCCTCAGAGCCTGGAAAGGCCAAGCTGACAGCAATCCACCAGGCCAGACGCCTCCATAACCAAACAAAGAAACTCTAAACCAAGATTTCAATCACGTTGAACACAGCTTTGCGCACTCACCGCTTTCTATGAGGTTTCCACTAAATATGTCACGTAGAGACCAACCGCACAGAAATCACATGGAAGTTTAATGTGCCCCTCCCATCAGAATAGCAGTCTTATATACTGCCCTATATCGCGCGTGATAATGAGGCATTCTTCCCTGCGGTTCATTTTCGGATTTCTGGAATTAATCCAGAGTGCCTCGAGAGTTTTTTGCGCCTGTGTTCTTGATTCGTGTGCGAGGATCCCATGCGTAACGGGACCCAGAGACATAACGGGGACGACTTCGAAGTATGTGTCACGATCCTGTGCGGTTGGTCTCTACGTGACATATTTAGTGGAAACCTCATAGAAAGCGGTGAGTGTGCAAAGCTGTGTTCAACGTGATTGAAATCTTTGTTTAGAGTTTCTTTGTTTGGTTATGGAGGCGTCTGGCCTGGTGGATTGCTGTCAGCTTGGCCTTTCCAGGCTCTGAGGAAGGCGAAACCCGCCGAAACGTCAGCTTATTCGTGAATAAGGAGTAATAACACCTCGCGTTTGCTCAACAAAAATACGAAGAATTACTTGATCAATGCCGAGGTTAATACAAAGTCGATCGTGGGACCTTCCATTGTTTCTATAACTGACAACTCATCAAGAACTCATTCAAACGTTCCAAAAATCTATACAACGCACCACGAAATTATAGCCACTGATATTTTTAAAACGCGAAGATTTTATGACAGCATTACAAAACAAGTTACATGAGACAAAATTCGAAAAGCACGAACAAACCACTGGTAACAGCACTGCTATATATTAATGTACTAAGCCGTAGCACATTTGTAATAGGATTTCCAAGTTATTTTTGAAATCCGGCATTTCTAGTGCAGAGCGGATCCGAGTTTCCCATCCAGTTAATAAAGTTAGTTCAATAAACACATGGCTTATCGGCCTATTCCAATAAAAAAACAGCTGAACCGATGAAGACCATTCTATTTTTCCTTTGAATTTCATGGAGGCATAAAGAATGAAAAAAACAAGAAGAATATTTATGATCGAATCATCTGAGACACGAGCATGATTCAAAATCAAGAGACAAGAAGTGCATGAACGAGAATGTACATTTCCCGCAAGGGTTAGATCGTAATAAGTAGTCATGGCAAGTGTTAAACTCTAGAAACTATTAAAAACATGATTCAAGATGGCTGTAAGACAACAATATTCGCATTTTAACCTTTGAGGATAGAAATCTAAGACATGGAACTATTGGTCAATGTCTTTAATAATTTGCAATAGGAAATATAATTCTCCCGTGTAAACTGCTGGTTGGCAGGAAATAATAAAATGTGCAGAAGAAACTTAAGAGCAAGCCATATATTAATGGACACAACGCAAACTTCCTCAGTTTGAAGTCCTAGTACACTGTACTATTGAAAGCGTGAAATGAAGTAGAAAACTGTGAAATGATATGCTATCCAACTGTGACTAGTTCAGCGAAACAAATATTAAGCATTATCATTATGTGATAATGATCAAAAGCATTATGTATTGAAGCACCAAAATCCACAGTACCAAATTCCAGTCAATGGGTAAATGTAATCAGGCTACCGTGAGAATTCGCTTATATAAATGCGTTCATTACGTTTCGGTGAAGACCTGTTTAAGCTGCTGAAAGTGTTTATGCCGTCGAGATGGTTTGTTTCCGGCGTCAGCCACTGGGAAAGGGTATCCTGTCTTTTGCATTCATCGGCCAGGTCTAACTCGACACGTTCCAGTAGCTAAAAAAGTGAGTACATGACAACTTGGCAAACCTTGTGAAGTGATTCGAATGCGATTTGCTCCTCAACACATTAACAAAGAAGATAATTTTCCGACAACAGACGATTTCTCTATCAATAAGGTTGTGTAGGACTTCAGGACTACACAAACTTATAAAAGACATTTTGTTCTATTGTCTTGCTGCTATAAGGTCTTTAGGAAGAAATCCTCCAATTCCATAGTAATTTAGAATTAAAATTGCTAAAAATTTTAGAACAAAGTCTAAATTTTCAAAAATTCCCAAACATGAACAGTAGCTACAAAGAGGACATACTGGGGACCACCATGGTGTCTCTTGAACGAAATAGCCCTTTTTTAATACCGCTCAGTTACAAATACGAGTCTTGGTGAAGTAAAGGTAAAAAAGTACGTTTCGTAAGCTCAGGGAAACTAAAATTTCACCGTTACAGGATATGAAAACTTGTACCTCATAAGAAAAGCCCGAATAACTTGACAGTTTTCATTCTAATTTCAGTTTTTATTTCTATAAAGTTCAATATGATATGTCGGTTTGAAGTTGGAAGCGACCACTGCGTTAGCAGAGTATAACTCTCAGTGAGGTCATGTGGTTCGGTTTATGTTAAAAAGTTAGTATGCTATGTTTATGCTGAAATTCTGCGTGGTGGCAGATTATCGTTCCCAGGATAAATGAGACTGTGACCGACATGTTTGTATAAAAGGAAGAGTTAACAGATTAGCGCTTGCAATGCGTTTAATACAACTGCCGATAGTTTTCCAATATCTGCACCACTTGTAGAATTTAAAACTTCATGGGCTTATGAAAGAACACTACTATAACGAATTAAGAACATGCATTATTTTTGTAAAACGTTACCTTAACATAAAATCTGCGCAAACCCTATTTCTTTAAAAGAATTTGGAGATAAAATTTAAAAGGATAAAAAGGATAAAGCTCTCAGCGTTGATCAATCTCTGAGGGATGCGCCATGCATTCGACTTCACTAAGTATCGTTGGAGGTGATTGAATGCATACCCGCCCTTTACTGACCCGCGGTGGCCTACCGATGTACCGAGCCAGTGCATCTCTCCTCCCAGACAAGTCTGGCACCAATTTGCCGACCATGGAGGGATGGAAGGCTTGGTTGGGCATGGGTGCCGGAATCGATTCCACGTGTGTGTCGCAGTGGCGCCTCCAACCACTACGCCACATGGGCCCTTGAGATAAAATCAAATTTTTAAAACTTTTAACACCAGCGCAGATGCAAACATCAATTTGCATTCAGGAACACCGGACAAAATCTCGGTCGTCCAACCTCTTAGCTGCTCGAATTGCACGATTCCACGGAAAAGTATTGACCATTCCATAGGAAATAAGTTGGTCATGGTGATAATAATAATAAAAGACGATTGAGATATGCTTAATCGAAGCTAAAACTCCAAAGAGTTCTCAACTATGTATGAGTTATATGTGATTCATGTGTCGGGAATGTGTTGAAGACGTGGAAACCACAAAAAATGAAGTGATGAATTTGAAAAGGCAAGAAAAAACGGTGCACTTATAAAGCATAAAAACAAAGCCGTAGAATGAGGCTGCGAGCGATTAGACAGACGGAAAAAAGGGATATCAAGCCAGTAATGAACCAGAAGTATAAAAAACTAAAAAGAAAATTAAAGCACATCTTACCTGAGGAGACGCTAGTCTCAAGTGTTCTTTGAGCTGATGAATACATTTGGTAAAGTTTGGCCGCTCCTTTGGATCTTTGTCCCAACACTTCATCATCAACTCATAGCTATAAGAATTCATTTAATACTTCAGATCCTTACTACAATTCATTTCCATTCACATTCCTTGCTATCAACGTGCTCAGTTCATTGACACTCCGTGTAAGACTTCCTACGCTTCATATTATTTTAAATGTTTACAACACGAAAAATTTTGCTTTTTAATGTTAGTCAAGCGTCAACAGTTATTGTAATCCCCAAAGTTTTACGCTTCATCGTATATGAGGAGCATTCCTAAATATTGAAATTAGATACAAAATAGTTTCGACTACCCTTATCGGCCCAACAGCTGCAGAAAAGTTTGGTATTTTCATTGGGAAGTCTCTCACTATGTATACGATTTGAGAAACTTCGAGCACGGGATCCCAGACTATAGGGAAAAAATCTTTCTCAGCAAGTTATCAATCAAGCAGAAATCGTGTTCGAGTCTGCACAATTCTTTTTGATTTGTCATGATGAATTTATGTATTCAGGACACATGTTAGTACCAAACTGACAAATTTGAACAAACATCACTACTATTTCCCAAAACATGGTAATGGAGGCGACTAGAAAAGCAATGTAAATCTAAACTATGCAGATAAACTTATCAAAAATGTAAAAACTTAAGCATGTACTAACATATCCTCATGAGCGTATTTCGGTTTCGAATTCCTATGTCCTTCGAGCAACTTGGATAACAGATCCTCATTTGCGATGGTTGGATATGGTAATCCACCAAGAGTGAAGATTTCGAACAAAAGAATTCCAAAAGACCATACGTCCGACTAAAATTACTGGCATTTAACAAGCTGTGAGAGGTAAGAAAATAAATTTGCTCCAATTTGTTACTTAAGATTTCAGTCAGAAAGTATTAGATGCTGAGATTTGCACTACTAGCAAAGAGACGCTAAAATTTTTGATCGAAAACGAAAAAAAAACACATCACGATTAGTCGGGTACTAAGAGTAAAGGTTTTAACAACAATCATTGATTTCACTCTTCTCGAAAACGAATATAAATTAAAAACGCTCCAAGAGTGGAACAAGAACAGAAAATCCTTCAACGATCCATGAGACTTTTAATTTAAAACCTTAAAAGAACAACACTAAAAAACAATAATTTGACAGTTCTCCAAAAATTTAAGTCAGGCTGTTAGATGCTAGCAGTAGAAACATGGTGACAGCAGATGAAACGAATAAGACACTTAGTGCACGTGGGATACAAAAACACTACAGATTCTTGGAAGAAAAAATATAAATCTCTTCAAGCTTTCCTAGCCCTATGAAGAAGTACAGCATTCCCAATATTTCATAAAACTCACAACAGTACAAGCATTTAATAAAATGATAGAATCGAGCAACATAAATGGAAAGTCTGAACGTTCTCCCTCGATTAGTGCAAAGTCCATCTGGCGTGTTCCGCAAAGACAGAAGGATAAAAGAAAAAGTATTCAGGGTAGCAAATTGTTAACAACATAGTGCAGAGCATAAAGATTATCATTTCATTTACGACGAACAGCTAACGGTTCAATCATAGTATAATATGGAAACTGCGGGAACGAACGTCAAAGGTCAACACTAACTCACTTGCAATGTATAAACACCATCCTGAATCGCTTCGATCGCCATCCAACGATACGGCACAAGCACGTTCTTCTTGCGTAACCTGAAGTTGTTATTGCTTGTGCAAATTTTAATCCATGTATTTATTTTATCGAAGAGAAATCTAACCTGTAATAGTTCTTGTTCTCGTTTTTCGCCATGCCGAAGTCAGCAATTCGGCAGATTTTATTGCTTGTAAGCAGCACGTTCCTTGCCGCCAAGTCTCTGTGAATGCACTGAAAGTATTTACGAATCTCCGCAAATGTCGAAGACGTAATATCAAACGGTTATGAGCAAAAGTCATGCGATGTGCTTTTGTCTGAGACTTAGCTATATTCAACACATGCTCCCTAGTTTACATCACTACCACCAAATTAAACGATATACGAGAAACTGCCCAAGAAACATACCGGTATTGAGGATAGGTACTCCATTCCATTTGCAATCTGCATAGCGAATGAAATCAAATCACTTGTGGCCAACATCGTATTGTCTGCTATCAGACGATCCGATTCCATTTCATTCGACCAATCCGGAATCTGTTCTGACTAGAAGACAAACTGTGAAAGGACACAAACATAAAACATTAGACATTGACGGCAAGGAAAGAAAACTAACGGCATATAGTGTCTTGACTGCAGAATCTGGTCGTAGGTAGCCATCATCTGGTATTTGTGTTGTTTTCAGCTCATTGATGAATTTGTTCTTGTACTTCAGTAAGAAATCTTTGAGATTCCCATTGTCACACAGCTCAACGACCACATATAGCTCTCCTCTGATAAAGATATGACTTTCACGGGCAATTTCAGCAATCTTATTTGTTGAGGTAATTTTTAGTGAATTCATTTTTGTCAAGCCAATTTTGAACACCTGAGGCAAGAAATTGACTAGTAAAATACTTCAAAACTTTTATATAACCAGGCGAATATTATTCGAGTTGTTAATCTCTAGATTTTCAACTTATTACTTTTCAACATACTTCTTCATATTTTTAGTGATGGCACCAATGAGTGCCAGTACGTTTGGATGTTTGCCGATAGCGCACATAATTTTTAACTCATCAGCGAGCATTTTCTGGTGCTGAACATTGGTGCCAACCAGTGGGCCTTAACAAGTGTGATTAAAGTATAATGAGTAGTAAAAAAGGATTAAACATTCACTCATACCCTTGACAGCTACCGGCAAACGAGCTTTTTCGGCTATTGAGTCACTCACACGAGGTTTTGACAACCACCCTTGCCAAACCTGCCCAAACTGTCCACATCCTAGCTGAACAAACTAATATAAACCGGAATTTTTATCACAGATTGATGAAAAATGATGAAAAAAAGACTGTGATGGTATCAAATTTTAGGACGCAAAGGTAAAGTAAACATAAAGCAGTGGAACTATCTAAAGTACAAGGAACGTCTTTCGTAGAAAATTGAAAACCGCTGAACTCACCCGATTACCGATTTCTAAATTATCTCTTTCCAATTCATACTGTCGATTATATGGCAGCTGATAGATACGCTGATCAAGAGGAATTTTCAGCCCACTTGGTGGTGGACCTTCAGAGGTTTTCATCAATTGCTCATAGAGAACATTTAAAGCTCTAAAAAAGTTATTTGTACGAAAGCTAAAATTGCTATAAAGTTTAGAGCATATTGTGTCCATGGAACATACACAGTATGTGGCGTTATCAAAACCTTATGTTAGTTATTAATTCCCATACTCATAATGAGGATTGTGCACGACAAAAAGGAAAAATCGTGATGAAAAAAGCGCTAAATCTAGTACACCAACAAAATAACTCAGTAGTTTATAAGCTTGCATAATGAAACTAAGAAACTATTTTATATTGTCGCTTTTGAAACGATACGATTACATTTTGCAGAGAGTATGCCAAACAGAAAAAAGAACCAAAAACTGTACATACCTTTCTTGTTCAATAGCTTTTTTGCGTTGTTTGAAGTAAAGCACAAGAGCAGTAATAAGACAAAACAATAAGCCCAGAAGCATCATGAATATCACAAATAAAAATGAACTTGATACTCTCTTTGGTGCTCCCTCAACCTAAAACATATTTATCCCAATAAAAAATACGAAGGTTTGAGCTAATAAACTTTGGTTGCTTACTTTCACCGAAAACTTGTACACGCTTGTCCCTGCTCGATTTGTTGCCACACATTCGAATTCACCTTTATCTTCAGCTGCCACCCTAGAAATATAGAGACGCCGATTGCCCGGTGATACCTCTCCTCCTTCATAGACTTTGTTATCCTTGAGCCTTAACTTGTGTATAAAAGTTACAGCTATAACTAATATGATGAACATGTTTTTCCACAAGAGGACCAACCATGTGAACTCAGGTCGAGGTGTTCCATCGATATTGCACTCGAACTCGGCTGGCTTTCCGTATTCTAGGATTCGAGGCTTTTCGGGATCCGATTGTGTGTGGTACGGCTTGACAGTTTTCACCACCTGCAAATCAACAATAGTTAGGGAAACAACGATCCATACTTATTTTTTTATACTTATTAAAGAACATATGCTTATAGGGCCCACGGAAACCATACCGAGATGATTTGTTTCAAGCGCTTTTCCTGACCACCTTTTTGCATCACACAAGTGTACTCGCCTGCATTGCTACTGGTAACATTACTAAAAAGACATAAAAGCGATTCGTTTAATAGAATTAGAGAAAACATTTACAGTGTTAAGACAATCACTTCCAGTCTCAACTCACTTGATGCTCGCAACCAACTGCCGTGAATGCGCATCTATCATATTATACACTTCTGTGATCGTATGTTCTCGAAAGACCCATCGCACGTTCCTGAGCATTGTTTGTTAAACAAAATACTATGGGAAGAGTGGATAAGAAAATGGCTTACGTACCGTCCATACCGGAAATAATGGTTTTATGATTCTCTGACTCTAAGAACCAAATATTACCCTGTTTCAAAAAAAGACAAAAATAAAAATACAGCATACTGGGAAAACCAACGTTTTCCTCACCACTCCAAAAAGTTCGAGATCTTCAAAACCAATGGACTTCCGTGAAAGAAAGCAAACTATTTCTTTGAATAGCAAAAACATTAAATACTTAACTGGTTACACTTATAGTGGTGCATTACTAAGTGCAAGTAGGCTGGATGACATTTCTTCACGTTTGATGAAGCTGTAGAAAAAAAAACATCAAGAGCATAAGAACACCAACCAATCCTCATCATTTGGCACAGTACAGGTCAGCTGCACGTTGTCTCCTTCATAAATTTCTTTTGGATCCTCCTGAGAAGTCGAATGTGATGATCTAGTCCAACTTGTTCTAACATATGGCTCACTTTCGGAAGCTCGAACTCTCTTCACTTCGGAATTAACCTAAACTTATTAGAAAGCATTCCTTCGGTTTAAAATGAAACCGAATAGATGTTATTAAACTGTTCTGCAAGTAAACTATATGGAAAGTACCTAGTCGCTCATGATCTGTCACCATATGATTGCCACATGGTGTTCATGGGCGTAGAACTGAGATATTGAGCAAAAGTTCATACTTCAGCAAGACTTAAGCGATCAAGAATAAATTGACGTTTCTACCAAGAAGGCGAGGTAATAGTAAATTAAAACCAAGACCATTCCCAAGAGAAACCAAAAAAAAACTGCTACTAGCTAACAAGAGGTGAAATCTGTGAAAGCCCCAGAATGACTTTTGAAATCTCGGGAGAAGAAAATATTGGCCAACTAAAAAACTAGCAGACAAATGGAAACTGTGCTAGCAAGTATTCAAGCAAGAGTAGTTTTAAAAAAACCTTTCCGTCTCGTTCTCCTTCACATTTCAGATCAAGATCATCCTGTACTGTCGTATTCCAAAGGTAGCCGCTCTCGTATGTTCCGCTCAACTCCACTAATTCAGAGCGATCCACATCAACCCATGGAGCAGAAGAAAGAGAACTAAAAATGGTACCAATGTAAACCACATGCCATCCAGTGAAGGGTCTGTACGAAAAAATTATTTCTAGATACTAAAGATTTACTAGCAATAATTTTAAATGAGAACAACACACGCAGACACATTACACGCACGCACGCATGCACACACTATGTAGTAGTGAACAACAGTGACACGAGAAACAAACCGAAAAGTTTAGGGATATTGCGAATTAATTACCTTCGACGCATAAAAGTGACCGTTGATTGTGGAATGGCAGTTACTATGCAGCTGACGTGCAATGGAGTACCAATCTGATAGTACTGCTGATCGAAAACCACCCAACTGTTCGGCGACATAACATCGATTCGAGCACTAATTTGTTCGTTTTGCACATTCACCTGGACAGATCAAATAAATGAAAAATCATTAAAACCAAAGCAAAACCCATATTTTGCATCGTTCATTCTAAAAACGTTTAACTTATATCATCTGTACCACCTGCAATTCCGCTAACCATGGAATAACTCGAGCGGAGAGCGTTAAATCGCTCACTAACTCGTGGATCTCCAGACCAACAACCTACCCCGCTCTCAAGAAATAACGACCATGTACTCCTTTATACGAGAAAATTTGTTCCGAATGCTTTCGCAGGATGTCATCCTCGGATAACTCGTTGGCTTCTGTCGTGAGGGTAAATACCATGTAACCACTGGAAATTGGGTACTCCGTAAGCTTATATTTGGCTTGTTTGCTGTGGGTGAGCCGATCTCCTAGCCATGCTACATGATGGAAAGATGCTACTTGAACAGAAGCTTTTTGCTAAGGCGACATGAAGGGCAAAATCAACACACACGTAATAAGACCAACATAAGTATAATTGGAAACCACCACTAGTATGCGGAAAGCATAATCAATCTGTCATACTTACTTAGACAATTTGACGGCCTACCCTCAGTCTGCTCCAGGTCGTCACCGCCATAGGCAGTCGCCGTACTTGTGAATCAGAGAAAGATTTGCCACCAAGTGCCTAATTTGATACCAGAATGGTGGCAGATCCTGATATTGGTTTACTCTTAGCTGGACTTCCTGATTAAAACGCTGTACTACTTCTCAGCATGGGAGACTCCGCTGGGGTGATGAATCCCACAGCTGTACATCGCGTTACGACACCCAGGAACACCTCCCAGCCACGATGAAGCCGTAAACCTTTAAGAGGAATCTGTTATAGCAAAAACAAAAACCCAATCTCTGAAGGTATTTGCGTTATTAGACAAGTATACAACCATTTCTCCTCCGTATTTAACACCCTACCTCTGCTACCCGGAAACGCGAGCCGATAAGGTATCAATCAATTGATAGAAGTCTGAGGGTTCAACTGACAGCATGAAGTGGTATTCGGCATTCCAGTCGCATTTAGGCACAAAAAATTACGAAACACATGCAACACATTTTTGACTACCGGTGGTATTTAGCCAGCAAAGTCACCAATGAATGAAGCACAGCTTCTAAGTAAAATCGCGGTTGTGCCTCTCGGGCCAAATTTCTCTCCAATGTGACTTGTATTATTTTGCGAACGGTTTAATTTGTAAAGAAACACTCACCTTCCACTCAATGGTTCTTACAGTGTCAAGAAGCTCAATAGTAAGAACATATCTAAAAAAGAAGAGGATGGATTCGAGAAAAAATACAAGTTTGAGCTCGTCACAGTGCTCTTCATGATGCGCTCGTCGAGGTTGTTAATCTAACATTTATGATGACACAATTAACATACGTATAAATTTAATGTTCTCAGAGCCGCCATCATTGAAACAGACTTCGAATGGACTTTAAATTGTATGGTACGCTGCTAACTGTTCTTACCAAGAAGAAAGATCAGCGCCAATTTAACTCATAGTCGTACTTCATAAAATGATGATGGTCTACAAAAATATGGCTTTGCTTGCCGAAGAGTTTTAATGAACACCGCTCTTGGAAAACATAAGAAACAGGAAAGAATTTCTGTCATAGACTCACACGCCGCTCATGCCAGTGACCGCGTTCTTAATGGCAATTTTCTCGTTAACATGACCTCCGCTAATTCTTTCACTCACGATCTGATGGTCATTATCGCTCACCAAATTTTCAGTCTCATTAATAGTTTTTGGAGGCTTGATGAACTTCTAAAATGGCAACATCATAGAGCTACAATAAAAATGAAGATCTTTCAAAATTTCATAAAAATAATAAGTTACCCTGATCCATTTCGCATTGAAACCGGGTAAATCGTCTGGAAAGGCAGCTAATTCTGCAGAAAGGTTAATTGAGTTTCCTTCCTTCACATTCACTTCTTGAGGCGTACGATTCAATACCTTAAATGATAGCAAGATCAAAAGGAATTTCAATTTCCTTGAGCAATATAGAGGCGATATTCAATGCCATAGACCGTCGTGAAAGCAAACTCCAATCGATACTGGTAAAGTATTAAGTAATACACGAAATGACATAAGTATAACCACACGTGAGTAGAATAACACCGAATATTGCCCACAAACAGGCCATCGAAGTGTTCTACAAACCTTTATTTGACCCTTCTTTGGAGAGACGTCCACATTTTTGTGAATTGTCTCATTCAGTACTTGGTCGAAGTACCAACTGCAACTGTACTGTCCACTGTCATCAAGAGTCAAAGAATCAATCGTTATACTGTGAACGATGCGATCACCTTGCGATGATTTTCTGTGCGTCACATACGATTGCTAAAATTGAGAATTTCATGCTTTATAGTGAAGACGGCAATAGGATACTTTTACTCACAGAACATCTAGGGCACTTTACTTGCAATTGGTATTGATATTTGTTTTCAATACGGCCTCTTCCTTTAAGTTTTAAGATACAGGAAAGAGTGTACTGTCCACCAACATATGCCCACGGATCAGGCTGAAATAAATGTCTTATGACAAAAGACGACCCTAGTGATAGGAAACTTAAGTTCCATACCTCTTCAAAGATGAATTCGAGATCGTTTTTGCTAGCTTCTTTAAAAACTATTAGGAATGTAGCGGAATCTGGAGGATAGCCCTTATGAACGCATTGGAACGTTAGTTGATTGACTATCTTGTCCTCGGCAGTTTTGCTGTTAACTTTAAAACCAGTCCTGAAACCATCATTACTTAATACTGGTTGTTATTATAAATGATTTCAAAAGAAGGTCGTTCACCAACAAAGAACAAAGAACGAAAGGTGATTCTGAAAACAAACTTAGGGAATCAAAACGCTTTGCGTTTTGTCAAAAATCAAATCAAAATCAAAACGGTAAGTGGCAAGGTCTCCCAAGCTGAGGAGCCCAACGTTTCCACCAGGAAGCCCAGTTAAGAGTAAACCAATACCAGGATCCGTCACTCCGTTACCGCCCTGATACCAAACTAGTCGCATAATGTAAATCTCCCTCTGATCCACAAGGGCGGCGACCGCCTATGGTGGTGACGCTCTCGGACAGACTTTGGACTGGCTGACCACGGGACTGTAGGCAACCATAATGGCTAAACCAGCAAAACTTCGAAAAAGTGGAAATTATTCTGGGGCCCGCACAACTAGTAAGGATGGACCATGCTGGTACCCATGTATCCAAGTATACTGGCAGGTATGAATCCCACTCCACACTTAGAATAGTCATGATACCTCTTTTATCTGGTTTCACTTATGTAGTCCCACCTTGGATCAAAATATTTCGCTGCCGATTTCCACAATTTTCCATTAACCCGTAGTTCAACATCGTCTTTAGAGAGATGTCGCGAAGATTTACAAGGTACGACGAATTCCGTTTCAGAGACAACCAGCCCTTCATAAACTGTTGGAATGAAAACGCTAGTTCCTGAAATACCTCATTAAGAGCCTATAATGACGTTTGCTTCATGTGTAGAAAGAATCTAAACTTCTAATCTCAAAAAAATGGCTTAAATCCAGATACACCTACCTTTTACGAAGATGTGAATTTCTGAACGCAACGTAGGGTCGTCTATGGAACGACATACGTAGGTTCCAGTGTCAGATTCCTAGAAACAACTACGTAATGTTCTATGAAAATTGCAAAGGAAATTAAAAAATGAAAAATCGAAGGTGCACGGAATGTAATACTTGAAGCGTCTTCTTTCTCCCATAGTTATTCGCTTTTGCCGCTACGAAATTTTGCAATTATTGATGAAAGTTTTGGCATGAATTTTAGAAATGTGGTCAGCAGTTCATTTGGGAAACCAGCAAAAACGCTTATATGGAACTGACGAATAACAAAGGTCAACGTAATAATGCTATCATTTGCCGCTGGTAGAATCTCGAAGATGACCTCGACGCATTGACAGAGCCGAATGTTCGGCAGCATAGAGACGACTGAACAGCGCTCTCGTTTCCCCATCACAACACGATACTTTTCTCAAGACTTAAAAAAAACATTTGCAGGATAATTGTTAGTTACGCGGTTATACTTTGGCTAGTGTAGGACGCCATAATACGAGCACTATAAGATATTAATAAACGAATCCACTTTTTCGTCACAGGTGGTTGTGAAAAACATTTCTTGATCCTGTTGCATGTGTCGTGACTGAAGCACACACCTACCTTCAGATTCATTATGTGGAGTCGGTGGCCATAGGAGAGGTTTTCAATTGTATGTCGCCCATTAAAATCATTTTCTGAGTAGCCTCGATTATCCGTTAAATTCGGAAACTGGAATTCAACGGCTGAAACAAGGTTTTGTAACCCAGATAGCAAAGAAACAGAAAATTATTTGGTAATTCACAAGTAGAAAATTTTTCTACATAATAGCTAGCTTTCAGTTCTTTTCTCATAAGCTTCCAGCGGCCTACCTTCGTTGGTTATATCAGAACAAGTTAATCGGATATCCTCGTCACTTTCTAACTCAACGAAATCACCAATGGAAGGGTCATGCTGTAAGAACAGTAACAATACAACAAGACATTTCAATTATTTTCAGACGTGTTGCATAATTCTATGTAACCATGTTTATAAGATCAGTTTAAGTATAGGAGTAGATGATATAAGTACCAGTATAAGATAAGTTCAAAAGATCAGATATTTTGGAATGTTGTGTTTTACTGCGACGGCGTCGATGATTCACCTGTATCTCGCTGTCTGCCTGGAGGTGCGGTGGAGAAAATGCATGGCTACTAACTACTAGGCCGAAATAGAATATGTTAAAAAGCATTTGTGTTCCTCATGAATTTTCTGAAATTAGGCAGGTACTTGACAATTGGATGAAAAATGGAAGGATAATACATGAGACTCTAGGGAAAGATAAACACGACAACGGTTCAGCTGCTTTATCAATGTAAACAAAAAAAATGGAAGTTAAAAGAAGAGGTGTAAAAATTAAAAAATAAAGATAAAAAATCTAAGGAGATGAAGAATTGGTCACCGGTTGGACGGGTATTATAGTTACGCATTTCAGCCAGAAACTGTAGAATAATATTGTTAAGTCAAGAACTGTAGAATTATGACGTATCATGATGACCAGGGATTGTAATATAACTGAGTTAACCGTGTTCGACATCTAGATTTCTCACAGAGCTCACTAAAGTGGAAACAGGAATTGGTTCATACTTCTAACTCCTTTGAGTAGCAGAATTTATTCTCACTGTGAAGTCATTTTCAAGACAATTTAGGAAATATGATGACTGAATAAAACGTAAAATGAGGCATGATCGAACTTGGCTAGCAAGACTTCGGAATTTTCCCAGATTCTGGTACTTCTCATGAGAGTCAGTCGACTAAACCGGATACACTGGAACTACTGAGCTCCATGTAAAGGACAGCCAAAGCTGCTGGGTTGCTGGCACGTCAGCTCCAAATGAGATAATGAGGCACTATGTGTAATTGTCGCTGGAGCTATACAAGGTCAGTGCCAATGAAACACAATAATTAAACACCTACACATGGGTGTCCAAAAAACTATCCATACAAATAGCAAGAAACCTCGCTTCTAATCCCACAATTACCAGTACACAAGCTTAACTAGTATAATTACGACCAGCATAATGCAAACTACCTGGATGTCCCATATGAGACTATGCTGAGGTCAACACTAGCAGATATGTAGACCGATCCCTGTTAAAGAATTAAATTATTATGAAGCTGGAAAGATGGTGGAAAGACACATCAATGAGCAGGTAATAAGTGATTCATGCTTGACGTTTTGCTATGACAGTACGGAAAAAATCGATTGTTCAACAGAACTATTTGTTCATGGAAAAACGAATGAAACTCGAAATATAAAGAATGTTAAGTGCTGAACAGCAAGCATCACCGCCCTTCGTCATTGTTGATGCAGTACACGCAGAGTGCACTTTGTACAAAAAGTGCCATCAATCGATAGCGAACTATCGCCGGCTGAAAGGTGTTTTCCGCTTACGAAAGTTGGTAGAATAGCAACAACCAACAGAATACGGCAATCATCGTTACGAGGATAAGTTGGCGAGAAATGAGGAAGGCGAATATGACTAGCAAGTGGTGGCTGAGTGGTGCGACGATCGTACGTGCCAGTAACGGACGGACGGTCGGAGGGTGGGCGCGCGGCGGCGGTCCGCTGTATGACGATGGCGGTCGCCCCAACCCCCGTCTGGCCAGCAACACCACTGGCAAACAACGAGGTCACCAGAGCTGCGAATACCTGCGGTCGCCATACGTCTACTTTTCTAGCATATCATAGCGAAATCACGGCTGGTGGTGTATTTGATAACTGCTGGACGCGACTATACTTTATACCAGTGGAAATGCTGCCAGCATGAAGACGAACATGCTGCTCAGTTATCACTGTCGGGTCTTAGTGTCGTAACACACAGGTTATTATTTAACAACATATTTCTTAGTGAAACTAATTTTTTGACATAGGCAAAAGAAGCTTAGGTGATGTTTGGTAGATAAATAAGCTGTATAATGAACACTCCTAAGCTTGTCATCACTTACTTGAAAACGGTATTGTAACCCTTATTTCAAAAAAAAATATTAAACTAGGGCAGAAAAAAGCGAAAAAATTTCATTGCTTAAGCAGTTGCACGGAGCTCTTCGCCATCTGAGGTCAATAAGTTGATTAAGCAGGATGGGCAACGAACACCTGAATTGTCTGTCGTTGAGATCCAGTAGTTGAAAGAAGTCTTCAAAATTTCGAGTTACAACAGATGTAGTTGTTTCCCAGCTGCTTCTTGGACGATTTTAATGGAGGACTTCTTGGAGGACAGAATTCTAAAAAAGATCACGAAGTGAAATCTATTTGTATCTCTTTGGAATAATCAGAAATTGTTTAGTATGATCCACAAGATAGTCACCACTACATAATAAATAATATTATTCAATTCATACAAGAAGTACAAGATATAAGTATAGGAGTAGATGATATAAGTGCCAGTATAAGATACTTATATCTTGTACTTCTTGTATAAATTGAATAATATCGGACTCGTCATATTTCAACTGTTCAGGGCATTAAACTGCAAACAAGATTTTGTTGCTACTCAGTGGAATATTTGAATGTTCGATTACTGAAATTTTTCGTTCGGGACTTCTAGAGAAATGTGATTGGGAAGACGAAACGTTCACCTACTACTTGATCGTTCCAACAATTAGTTGGTAATCTGATTTCAACACAAAGAATTAACACCTTGTGACATCCATATCTCCGATTTTTAGGTGCATTTTCATCATTCTGGAACAAATATGAGAAGGAAATAGATACGTAAATAATGAAGCGTAAATGAGATTAAGAAAGTAGGAACGATATGAATGGCGAGTCGTATTCATGTGGGGAATGTTTGACAGCTGTTTGTACGCCGTCTATAACCTCGACGAGTGAGGTCGGGTTCAGTCATCCAGGAGAGGTCAGAACAGCAGATGTTCGACCTTATTTTAAACAGACCATCGAGTGAGGCATGAAAAGAAGGCCATCCAAATGCCTACTCCGTCCGATTTTTCTTTCTTTTTTTGAACGAAATATTTTTTGAGCGCCAGTGCGACTAAGTCACAGGATTGGCGTGCAATGAATTAAGAAAGTTTTTCTTGCTTTCGTTGAGAATTAAACAGTTTAGCCTTGCTGTTTATGTTAAAACCGTCTATCTTCAGCGCAGATTGATTCTTTGATAAATGCCTGGGGGTTTCGCACTGAAAACACTGGCAAAATTACGGAAAGCCGTAACTAGCAAACAGCAATAGGCAAAATTCTGAGAATGGTTGACCTCTGAGACGAAGTGCGTTGCCGTATACGTCCTGACTCAAGCTATATATTTAAGTGCCAATACCCATAGCCATTAGATGTGGTTTCCATTCGAGGGATATCTCTGCGCAACTAGTTCCATACTTTATAGTTGATAGGAATATTTGTTGCTGTAGGAATACCACAACCGGTTGTTTAAGATATTTCAACGCAGTCGATCAACAGTCAACAGCGTGAATCAGAATAACCACTCCAGTCGGCAAAACACTGAACCTAGTGCATTTCATTAACTTTCAAAGAAAGGAACGCAATGCGATTCAGAATTCCTTCCAGCCTTTTTTCCTCTAAAGATTTCCAAATCCACGATTCTACTGCTTTAATCTCATTGGAAAATTTATATTCTACGATCCTTATAGTCGTTTTCTTTCTCGGAACTCGAGACTTCGTGTTTGGCCGACTTTTCAGTTCCCAAAAATTCCGAAGTACTGTGAAAATCTGTGGAGACCAGACAGACTAGTGTTCACGTACTCGAAAACATCGAGCATATATAATTATTCAACAGTTACACATCAAGTGCTTTTATCGCATATCTAGTCACCTTCCGTTCAAAGTGTGTTGGACACCCGGCAATGACCTTTTGCCTTTGGAACGCGTTAACACTGAAATATTTTTGTATAATAAAGCATCATAGGTGAAGAATGGTAAAAATTTCATCAGAAAAAACGGCATTCACAACTACGGCATGAGCATAAATTAAATTGTTGAAGTATATTTGTAACGTGACATCAGAACAAGGAATGGAATACGTTTAGATATAAGATAGTTGTAACCGTCATTGGATCTAAACCTCTTAGCAAGTAATTGCAAGCTACGGTAAAAACATGCATTTCCGAGTGTGTCTTCAAGTAGATCATCAGTTATTTTTTGCATCACAACCCAACTTGCATTGATTTATTCATATTAGATGTATTATATGTATTAAGCTTCCCCACGGTAAACCGCCTTATCGTGGCTTGGAGGTGCTCTTGGGTGTCTGCGACTGCCTGTCGAAGTGATGACTTGGGGTAGACTTTGACCAAGCTGTCCTTGGGATTCTAAGGAGCCACAATGGCTTAACCAGCAAATCTCCGAGAAATGGTGGTTGTGCTGAGGTCCGCACAACCAGTGAGGACGGCCATTCAAGTATCAAGTAAGTAAGCATATGTTTCAAAATGATCTCAGTTCAGATCATCTCTTCCACCTGTAGCTTCCTTGGCAAAAGGTAAATAACGAAAAATGGTGGCTGTTCTCCAATAACTAACAAATTTCGATAACTGGAGAACTTGAGGGATTCAGAAGATCAACGCGATGTAGTACCACATCCATGATCTGCACGGAAAAACCGTATTCTAAACGCCTCAGCCGACTGTTAACGGCGCTCGTTTCTAATTGAAATTATGCTCTTACTAGGGCTATTCTCTTGCTCTGCGTTTCTCTCAGCTAGTCTTCCATAGCTAGTTTTCTAGCTAGCTTGGAGATAGCCGGACTACGACACTCCCACGTGGATTCGGGGAGAGCGTTGGAGCGGCCATCCAACTGTCGTCTTTTGCTTTCTGATCGATGGCATCGCTAACCATTGTGCTACCACTGCACCTGCCATTAGTGTTGGT